ATACTATCAACCTCAAAAAATATTTCAAGCTAAATATTTTTTCAACGTACTTTGATACGCAGTACTAAACGAAAATCCAAAGTATAAGAAGAACTAAAAAATAAATGCCTTGAAAGTCTGAGGTTCCAATTGCGTAAACATTTATTTGTATGATTTAATTTTCGAAAAATAATATGGCTAGCCTCTCTTAAACTTTCATATGTTATAGAGAATTGTAAATTAAAATAGGTTTTTTTATTTTACAAATATTAGATGTGAAATCTTTTTTTCTTCTCTATTTCCCCTTAATTTCTAAGACCTTATTTAAGAAGTTAGTAAGTATAAGTATATAGCGAGAAAGACTCGTTGCTTTCTTTCGCTATGATATACGCGGGTATATATAGTTATATAGCTGTAGTCGGCATTTCCATGCACACCACTCCTCTCTCCGTAGGCACATATTCAGTATACCCCTTCCACGCGTCTCCGAAGTATGTGCCTACATGCCCATTTCCACGCGAATCTGTAGGCACACACTCGGTATACCCCCTCCACGCTTCTCAAATAAAAAAAAAAATATGTGTGCCTGGTTCGACCGCTTGGCCGCGACGGGGCGCTCGAAACAGTGGCCAAAAGTGAACTCGCGCCGTAGCATTGCAGTCAGCAATCTCTCTACTAATGTCTCACATCTCTCGCGCTTCAGGCTCTACTCGCCAGGTGGCCAAGCCCCTAATAGTTCGCTCCCGTGAAGCGGCGAAATTCCCGCACGATTATAAGTATAAGCGCGATCGAGATGGTCTAAGCAAAAAAATTTAAAATTAAAAAAAATTAAAATTAACATCAATTTCTTAAATTTCTTAAATTTCTTTAAAATTCCTAACCTTATATCCACGTAATTACGTGGATTTGGTGCGAATAGACACAGCGTCACTTTAAACTTATAAAAACGTCAACAACCACGCAATATCAAAATTAAATGCTACACCCAATACCCATGGGTGAAAACAGCCAATAGGTTAATAAGTATTGAGGGTCAGCCCCCTCCTATCCCCCCTTTCGTTAAAATGCTGCAAGTTTATTGACGCGCTACAGTTTCGACGATTCAATAGCTGTTTTCTGGGCAATAAGTAATATCTCAGTTTTTGTTTTGCCCTTTATTTGTCAGAGTATGAATGAATGAAACGAGGATCGGGCGTAATATAACACAGCTAAATTATAAAATTACTTAAGCAACTGAAAGTGATTCGAGTACATTTATGCGACCCGTTTACCATAAATATACACATGTAATATTATGTTGATTTGAGCGTCGCGTCATTTTTTGCTCTTTTCTCTCGAATCATAGGGAGGGAAGGTTCGGCCCGAACGCGCGAGCGCGAGAGGCAAAAGTTAAATAAAAAGGAGCATCGACTCATTCATTCGCCGCCGTTCGCGAGCGAGAGAAGAATCGCTGCATACTTTGGTGCTCATTGTGATCCTGGTGAAAAAAACTTGTGTGTCGTACCTATCCTTGTGCGCGATTCCTACTCGCCAATCCCTTCATTACTTTTGGTTATACTCGATTCATGTTACAAGTGAACTGTCACGAAAGTTGTCAGGGAGTTGCGAGGGCTCGGAAATTTGCATTACATTAAGAAGTAGTTCGTGCATCGCTGAGCAAGGAGACGACGTGCACAGCCAGGACAGCGACGGCGGCCGATGGATGGAGCTCACTGGAATGGCGCCGGCGACGAGGAGATGGAAGAGCGCAGGTCGATCCGGGACGCAGCGGGGGTACGGCTACAAGCCAAGCGTAGCAGCTATGGCAGTACGGCCAGGCACGTGACCCGCAATGAGAGCCTTGTCAAGCATCTCGTTGCCAGCACCGACACTCTCCAAGGCATCGCCCTTAAATACGGTGTTACGGTACATATACATACTTTATTTTCAGTGATTTTCGCGCTGCGCAATTATCATACTTACTTTACACTTCACTTAATTCAATTGACATTTTTTTTTCGCGCTTATTACGTTATGACCTGTTTATGAAGATTATACTTATATCTTTATTCTATGCTCAATGTGATTTCTAGGTATTCTAGAAAATTTTCCCTTTCATCTTTCGTACAACTGGCTTTCCAGTACATTATTGATCAAATTTTTTGAAAATTTCTGGTGTCAATACTTATCTCTTGCATGTTAACTGGTGTTTTTCGACTTGATGAAATAGTATTCTTTAATCTTTTTTTGTGCTCACACACTGATAGTTTATATCAACGTTGAAGATAACTTGATTTTTTATTTTCATATTGAATGTTTCAGACAGAACAAATTAGAAGGGTAAACAGACTTTGGGCTTCAGATAGTTTATTTTTAAGAGAGCACTTACTAATACCGATTAGTGCAGATAGTCCTCTCTCAGGCTCAAGTACAGTGACTTCAATTTCAGAAAGCTTCGAAAGCCCTAATGTAAGTTGCTTTTTAACACATTTTAAAACAATACTATATTGACTTTATTCAGTACGACATTAACTAAGGCGGTTATTAACATTTCAGGCTTCTAGTCTATCTTCAGTATCTTCTCCAGTGGAAGATGAAAATTCTTCTGTTAATGATTATTTAGCAAAACTAGATTCCTCGATTGCAAGTGTAAAAAAAGATATTAAAAAAGTACAAGGCAATAGCGAGTAAGTTTAAATCTTAATGAGCTATTATTGTTAGTACTTGGCGCGTTATAAATGATGTTCTGTATCAGTGAATTATTTCTGTCAGATTTCTCGGTGAGAGTAACGATGAATTTGTACAACGACGAAGAGCAACAGCCAGGTTACGAAACTCTCATCCAATCTTATCGAATTCACACTTGATCTCTGTAGAAAATCAACGGCCTTCATCATCAAGTGATATACAAAACTTACCATCTGCAGTAGTCATGACCCAGGGCAGAAAAGTAAGAACTTCTTTGCAAAGGTTACAGAAAGAACAAGATGAGATGTTTCAGTTGTAGCAATTACTATACGTCCATTAACGTTGAACTCATTGAATAATTAGTTGTAATCATGTTTTGGTTAAGGTAGCCTCATGAATCGTTAGTGCATATGGTTCAAAAGTATTTAGTCACGATGCATTATTTTGACCGTTTAGACTGATTTCATAAAGTATTCTGTTAAATCTATTTTTTAATTTCATAGACTATTCAATTATATAAAACATTGAAATATTTATTCCAATTCTACTATAGTATTGTTTTGTGTGAAATTTTTTTTTCTTCGCTACATTACTTAACATGAACTAATCGCAAGAAAGTAATAACTTTTTATACTTAATTCAATAACCTATCCATTTGAATATAAGGAGCATAGCGTTTGAGATACGAAATGGAAAAAAAGTTTATTGCATTGTAGTCAGTAGTTTTTTTTTACCTTAACCGAAAAATGATTTTTAAAAATGTAATTTTTATTTAGTATCATTCAATGTATATTTTCAACTGTATATACGTTATTTCACTAACATGAGATAAAAATAATTATCTCTTTTTTTAATTATAACCGCTAAAAGAAAAAAGACTTGACTACTTAAACTATTTTAATTCAATAAGGTGAAACATCTTACAACAAAATAAGACTTGGTAAGATATATATTATACTAGAAGTGTGATTAAACTGGTGAAAAGGACCTGCTATTTGTTTCAGTTAAATGAAACATTTTTTAAAAAATTAGGTACATATTAAGATGAAAAATTTTCTTGCTCTACGAGCCAAATGAACAAGTGTATGTACAGTTGTTGGGAGTTACGAGGATTGCGCAAGTTACGGCGTGCCGCTAACACAAATTTAAAGTTACAATGTCGAAAGTTTAACGAAAAATAAAATATTTATCACGATTCACGCGTGTGCCTTCAACTGTGTGCTAGGTGACACGCTGATCGATCACGGTTTTACCCTAATATCATTGTGTAACGTTAAACAGAACTTAACGACTTGATTATGTAAAGAAAGAAAATATGTATTTTTTCGAGAAAAAGAATTTAGTTAGATGTATAATTTTTTAAATGACATGGTGTTCACCAAGAACGCTAACGGTTACAAAAACCTGTACAATACAATAATAAGCAAACGTAACATCAAAACGGTAGGCAATACTGTTTATGAGTATAAAATAAAAATATAAATGCAATACTCTGTACAATCTTAATTATAAGAAAGTTTTACCAGTTACAATTGGCTTTAAAATTGCGAGATAACATTAATCTTGACAAGTTTTTGCTATAACAATAAAAAAAAAAAAATACTTTGTGTCGCAAAACCTTTCTTTGTGGAAGTACCTTGTAACTAATAAGCCACACTACGTTAAAAGCACAATTTACGAAACGTGTTGATTGTTCTATGATTTTTTTTTGATAAGTTGAATATTGTTAATATTTTGAAAGAATTTTATTAATAGTTGTATTATTGTTTACATTGTTGCTTGTGACACTGAATACGAGCATATAGAAAATGATGCTTGAGTATTGTCTTTGTTTTAATAGCTTTAAAATTTTATTTAAGCTCAATAAAAAGTTATTGATAAAAATTAACAAAAGTAATGTACATATTGCTTATAAAAATTTATGGTGTTTCAATGGACCATCATGTGTCTGCTAGCAGCTGTAAAATTGTAAAATGTTATATACTGTTTGCAGATGATATACTTATGTATATTATATTCTATCAAAGATGTGTGTCAGTGATTCGTAATTAAAAGTATGTAAAAAATTGCAGTTTATAACATACAATTAAACTGTTCTTATAAAAAGTGTCTTAGTTTTCATAAAAATCAATGAATTCAAATCATTTATTATAGTTATTTTTATTTTCAAAATTATTCACAAGATCATAAATGTTGATATGAATACATTCTGAAATAATAACATTGGCTACATTTAACAAACCGTTATGTAGATTCGAAACGTAGACTAATGTGCTATTTTTTTCATTATTTTTTTTTTACTGTTAATATACACTCTGATTGTTTTTCTTGGATAAAAGTAGACAAGTACAAAGGTGAAATAAAATCTATACATGTAACCCGAAATATTGCTTCCGAGTCCTCTAGCGTGTTTCTTGATTTTCAAATCTAAAGTAAATAAAGTAATAAAAGTGGCTAAATTATATACGCGGCACCAGTGCAGAGATCATCTGGCTTTTTCTAGATCTCATGAACGTTAAATTGAACGCTCTTGAGAAACGCTGACATTCAGGATACAGATTGCATTTGAAAAATTTTATTTTTTTTATATCTCCGACCTGGATAAAATTTCACTAGCTCTAAATATATTTATTCATTTCTTAACACGAAAGATGATTGCAAACGCAAATAAAGATCCTCTGAAGGATTAAAAATATAAAATAAGAAAAATTGTCATATCAAATTTTGATTAACAGAAAAAAAATTAAAACAAAAAACAGTAATATGAAGATGAATACTTAGTATATTATATCAATATTGAATTCGATGATTAGTCATCGAACAGTTTCGCTGTCAATCGCCTTTGTACGTAATCATACACTTACATTAGTTTCTCTAAATCTAAAGGGCTGTCAAACTTCCATATTTTTTAAATTGCTTAAAATCGATTCACCATTTACCTCTCTATTAATTTTTTTTGCAACATTTCATTTCCATAGCGTTTTCTTCTGTTATACAGAATATATATAACTCACATATTTTCAACAGACACATACATATAATATTTGTACATGGGTAATTAATAATATTCAATGAAAAATGTATGGTCGTTTTGTTACTCAAGTTTAATCGAATCAATAAGTGAATTCACTTACAACACCAAAAATTAACTATCAGCCAAGTTTAAGCATTGATGTGCGTGACTACACGCTGATTCGATTATTCTAATCTTGTTCTTGATCATGAAAGCTACCGTATATATGATAATTCTCCCAAGCTAACAGCATAAGATTAAATTGTCATTCCTGATCATACAGTGGATTGTTGTGTTTAATGATAATTTACTTTTTGCTTCCATCTCATTTTTATTTTTATATACATTCTAAATCAGACAGCCGTTATTAATTATTTTTTTCCTTAAAAATAACGAATGTCAACAACAGATCCTACACACTTTTTCATCTCTTTGCCTCAAACCGATTACTTTCTCCAAATAAAAAATGCTCTTAAGAAATGAAGGGAGTGTTTGAAAGCACATTTCGTGCACCGACATCTCTTGTAATGTTTATTCAACGTTAATGCTAATGCAGCTTAAAATGACCAACGCACAAACGACGTGTAGACATTGCCTACAATGCAGACGCTGTTGTGTGTGACGCGTAACAAGTACGAGCGTTGATTTAGTAGCTTACACACGGCCACGAGGCTTTTTGCGAGCTGAAGAAGGACCTTCACCAGCACTGCTCGTCGAAGGAATTGGTGCTGCTGCCGCTGCCACTACCGCCGTTGTTGATGCCACTGCTGTTGGTGTACTATTGGCGCTGCTGCTGCTGGCTGTTCTTTTGGGACGACCGCCTGCTACCGCAGATTTGGCTTCCTGCATCGAAGTTGACGGTTGCGGTGTCAAAGCAGCTGCTATAGAACAAATGAGTAATTGTTTTTTTTTTTTTTTTTTTTTTTTTTTTTTTTTTTTTTTTACGATTGATTGATAACCACTTCGAATAACATATAATTGAGGAACTTACTACGCGACTTAGTCCTCGATTGTGCAGGAGTGTTCATTCCACTAGTACTCGGCACTACTTTTGGAGGAGCTTTCTTGGGTTCTACAGCCTTCTTTGTCTCAACAGCTTTCTTGACAGGCGTCACAATGCCAGAAGTGCTGGGCGTAGCAGTAACACCTTTGTTCCTATTCATGGCTCGCTCAGCCCTGCTAGGACCCTTTGATGTTGAAGGGGTGGATAGAGTTGTGGTAGCTTTACTTGCCACCCTCTTTGTTGGACTCCTTTTGCGACTTAATGGGCTTTGTTTTTCAGAATCATCCGAGGAGCTTTCATCATCCTCTTCTTCAGACTCATCATCTGATTCTTCGGATTCATCACTCTTTTTGCGCTGGCGCTTGGCTTTAGGCTTTCCAGGACTGCCTTTGCGTTTTCTCTTTTTTAGTTGATCTTCATCTCTGTACAATGAAATATCCACTACAACAAGCAAAAGTTTTTTAATCTTTTTATTTTATAACCAGAGCGTTAGGTTTTTTTTCAATGAAGTATTTAAAATACTTACAACCATCAGGATGCTCTTCAGTTACTTTCGGTTTTTCAGAAAGACCAGCTTCAACATCAATAGCTCGTTTCAAAATATTTTCTGTTCTCAGAAGTTCGTACTTGGTTAATTGATACTTATTTTTTTCAACTTTGTTTAGATTAAGATTCGTCAATATACAGTCGAAATCTGAAAAATATAATTTACGTGAAAACCACTTTTCAGTCCTATGACATTTTGAATTAATGTTTTAATATTTTACCTGTAAAATCATAGAAATCTGGAGAATAAATCTCTCCATTATTTTTTTCTTGTGAAAGCCAGCGAATACGTATACGTTTGCTTGATTTGTAAATATTTTGCATAGCTTGGCAAACGTAAAAACTTCCTTCTGTATTCCTAACTGCTAGAAACTCATTCCTTAAACGTAAAAAAAGTAAACGTCAAATGAATTCAATACGTATTAAAAAAAAATCATATCGTTAACGAAACACCAACTTGTAAAAAACGATGAGTTTATCATCACCACTCTTGGGGGTCTGCTTGGACGCAGTTTTAATGATTGCTGCGTATTCAGGCAAAGGACTCTGATACGGAGTTGTTGGCACTCGGTTACGCCTCGATCTCGATCCACCACCATCACTCGGCGTCGAGCTTATACTCTTTATCTCCTTTGGATCGCGAGACCTTCTCTTGGCAGCAGGACGTGAAGATGTCGGCGTTTTGGCATCCTTGGCTTCAGATACTTTCTCGGAATTCTCCGTTGCTTTAGTTGGTGTTGTTTGAACCTTGGCAGGGGATTTTTGTGCAGACGTCTCAGCTTTGGATGCCGTACTGTCGTTTGACTTTTGCAACGTTGTTGGAGGTTGCACGACTTTTTGTGATATTGTAGCAGCTGCAGTCGATACCGCTTCTTCTTTCAGCCCGCTATCTCCAGGACTTTTCTTTTCGTCAGCTTTATTTTGCGCTGCAGACACTGAAGCGTGGGTACCTGACTTTACTTCAGTGGCTTGACCTGGCTTGGCGGCTTCCAAGCTCTTGGGGCCTTCTGAAGCAACCCCACTTACAGCAGAAGCACTTGGTTTAGTTTGCTCTACAGCTGGTTTGTCAGTAACAGTGGGAGTAGTTTGCGCCGCCGGTGCAGCAGCCGTTGGGTTGGGCGTAGAAGTTGATGAAGTACTTTGTGTCAAAGGTGGTACAATATTCGCAACATTTGTAGGGGGAGCTACATTGTGCACAGAAACAGCAGGTGCCAAGGATGATGTTAAGCCAGGAGATGTGACTGTTCCAACATTGGTAGGCAACGAAATAAGACTGCTCTGTTTGTTATCTTTGTCAGCCTAAAAGTTAAAAATCACGATAATTGTGAGATTTTCTTAAACGTTGTTCATAATTTAAAAATAATTCAAAGAAGTGTACTACCTTGGACTGCTCCATTCCATTTTGAACTAATTTAGCAGGATCAGATTGTTGTTCTGGTTCTTTGTGCTGTTGCTGTTGCTGTTGCTGCTGCTGTTGCTGATGAGTTGGTGGCTGTAATTGTTGCGGCTGCTGCAGCGGTACTTGCTGTTGCTGCAGTTGTTGCATCTGTTGCTGCTGGTCAATTGGAATGTTGTTAGTGAAAGAAGGCTGATAAGGAGCCCTGTGCTCTTGAATCAGACTCAGAGGTTGAGTTGGTGATTGCAAAGTCATATAACTGAGATTAGTGTTGGGCAGAGGCTTCATGCCACCACTTGATTGATCAGTGGGGGGCACGACTTTTGGGGAGACCATGTTCATGGGCATCATGGTGTGGCCGGACGATGCAGTTGGAGTCCCTACTCCAGGCATTGATGATTTTATAGCAGGTGCACTCATGTCCTATGTACAGCTGACAAGAGCTATTTTCGGCTCCTTGCAAAGCCAAAAATCTGCACTGTCTTCAAGTGCAGATCATTCAGTTGTTTTGGACCAACTTTAAATTTTCGTCAGATATCGTGACTTTTGACCTGCAAGGAAAATTATTACTTTATTATTCAAAGTGTTGGAAAAATTTGATATTTTTAAGATATTAAAAAAAAAGGAAAAAAAAAAAAAAAAAAAAAATTGTACCTTAATGATTATTAAAATATTTTTCACGTGATTACGAAGATTCAACATGTTTTAACTGATTTAATAACTGCAATAATGTTTGAGTAAAAAATATACCAACGAATAAATTACGAGAATCCAAATCTACTTCAAATTCGTATAGTATCGCATCTCAATTTATCAGATCCAAGTAGTATAACTAATCTACTTGTTATTCTGTGATTGCACAGCAAATAGATTCTCAAAGTTTATCGACCTCGAGCGAATCACTTTTAACGAGGTAAAAAAAAAAAGATTCTCGAGTTTTTACCTGACACATCCCGTTACATCCAGAGATTAAAGGAAAAAAAATGTTTTTTTTTCTTTAAAGCTGCGGATATCGTGATACCTTGGCTTACTGTTTTAAGACAGACAATAATTGCGTTTCCATCGAGTATTATAGTGTATATAGGTATAACAACAAAGTGTGTGTGAGCTCTTTCTGCTAGTCGTGTCGCGAGGCCAATGCTCGAGGATTCGGTACGTATAGGTACATAATACACCCTATAACTTGATCCATCAACGCGAGCAAAAAGAGACAGAAAAAAGAGTAGTATAGGTTTATGATCGATCAAACATTGATCAATGAACCGAACACGTTTATACGAAAAAAAGGGGCGAACTCACTTTCACAAAGTACACCAGATATATTTCATATTCATCATCCTTATAACATAAACATCCACAACTAGTACGCACATTTTCGTAAATGATATTATTTACTAATGTTTTTTTTTTTTTTTTTTTTTTTACACGGGGTGTCAATGATTGTTAAGGCATAGGTATCAAGGGGATAGGAAAATCACGAAAAAAAGTAACAGAGTAGCCCGTAAGGGCAGTAATCCAGTATTGCAAGCCCGGCTTCGGCGCTACGGGTGTTATCGCATCCGCGTTGCGCGGATACGCCGGCGACGACTACTGTAGGTACTACCTCCACAACAACAACCGACAGAGAAGGACGGTGGGATCTACCAGATGTGCATTTACGATTAATATTATATATAGAGCGGCGAAAGAACCGCACGCGTAATACGAGCAAGAGAGAGAGATGAGTATATGGTGTGTGTATGTGCATGGAGGAGGAGGAAAATACACTATAATGTGCCGTGCGAGTATACATTCGATTATATATATATACACCAGCTATTATACCAGAGGGAGAGAGAGCAAGTGCTGCAGCAACTGCAGCCAGCAGCGACAGAAAGGGAGGACCGACTTCAGAGAGTCAAAAGAGGTGGCGGGCAAGTGAGGGGAACTCCCTTATGCTCTTTACCGTACCTACAATATATACTGCAAAGAGAGAAAAAGACATGCATGAGCTATGGGGGACGACGATTTACGAGGGCTGCTTGCAAGCCCTTCCCTCCGCGAGCGCGCGCGCGCGCGAACGCGATATATGTTTATATATTATACTGTCATCGTTATACACGTATTCATTATTTCTCTCTCTTTCTTTCATTCCCCCGGTAAACAAAAAAAAAGTTACATATCTATCTCTGTCAATGTCATAGGTTTAAATATATGCATGCATGTGCACGGCGAATCGAATTTTGTCAAGCGCGTCGTTATTTTTACAAGCAGCCGCGAATCAAATACCTTGAATATCTTTTCCGTATCTATTTCTCTCTGGATGGGTTTTATGATGCATCAATGTACTCAACGCGCGTAGTATCGTATATACAACCAAGTACAATAATACTGTCTGTCTGGACTGGCCACAGAACACTGACTACTGCGTGGGTGTACAGTTGCTGCGCGCTACAACACGAAGTTCGATATGCCAATTGAAGCGTGGGCGCAGGAATGCGTGTGCTCTAGCAAAGTGTGTATATATATATAAATATGTGTGTGTACACTCTCTGATGCCAACAGCTTCTCTCTGATCCTCTCGCTCTTTCTCTCCTTCGTACATCATGTATTACCTCCGTTGGCGCCAAGAACGCCACGCTGAGAAGGGGACGATCCGGTGTTTACCCCTCCTCCCCCGTACATGTATCCCGTTCCCATCTGCGCGCTACTCCGAAAATTTTCCGAAACAAGTGCACGAAGGAAAATAAATCGTTATAGTCGCATCATATCATACCGCTACGTCTTTATTCACTAAATGTAACAAAAGTATCACGTTCCAGCAACTATCGAAAGCACCACGATTTCAGCAGCAAAACCTTAATCACCCCGCACACACCCACCACTCGTCCGCAAACCCGAACAAACGCTTCTCTTCTAACAACGAACGACATAACGACGAGCCAAAGCAAAGCGAGAACTAACCCCGGTCCCTCTGGCTTCTTTTTCATTGGTTCCAGGCTTCTACCNAAACTTCTTTATACTTTGTGTGCCAATTACAATATAAAATACGGTATTATTCGTCACTTGTCGAGTTCCAATGCTATCCTCCTTGAATTTACTTTCTTTTATTAAACCTAGTATACCCACACAACGCCGGTATATTGTAATAAGCTCAACATCATGGAATAAGGGTCTACAATTAGCCGGGACGACACCACGGAACAGCTGCACTGACACGTAATCGTGCACTCTGCGCTTTTTCTGCGTACTCCGGAAAATTTTACGAATAGTACGATCAATTGGAAATTATTACTCATATGGCTATATAGTGAACGTATTAAATGTTCCTACATACTTTTGCATTAATGTATACACTTATGCGTCAGACAGCGCAGAAAACAGTGAGCAAACACACAAGCTGACTGCAATAAATACGTAAGTACAGCAGACACACACCGCTATACATTTTACATTGCACTTACTAACTGTAATACTCTGCGAGTGATGCTTTCGTATATGACGTGATGTGATAGGTCGATGCTCGGCGGCAAGGAAATAATATTAGGTTATACACTGGACGAGGGAAGTTACATACGAATAAATGTTAGGTAAGTATACAATCTAACACGGTCACTTTAGTATCCTTAGTTGAGTACACGCGGCCGTTCTTCCCCTCTGATACATTTACTATTATACCACTGTGTCGCGCTGTACACTGCATAAACTTTCACCTCGGATTAGATTACATGATTGTTAAGTATTCGCACGAACACAAGGAAAGAACTGTCCTCCTCACCACCGACCTCAACATTTTATCGCGCACTAGTTGACTGTGTACTGTATAATGCACTCATATAAAAATACGACTGTGAATAGTTGTTATGGAGCAACTGGCTGCAGGCTCTCTCTGAACAATATGTATTACGACCTAATATGTGTAGGTATGTTATGGATATCTTTACAACCGCGCGAGACGAAGCCACAATAAGGCGAGCTATAGCTATAGCTCTTTGGCTCTCTCTCACGAAGACCAACAACCGACAACGCGCGCGCAAACTCCGAACACACATACACAGTCACAGTGAGAGCGAAATAGCGATGTGTAATTAGATGCGTAAAAAAGCCGGGCGGAAGATACAAAGATTGTATGTGTTGTACGTGCCAGAATAATCGAGCGAAAAGTATCTTTTCCATATGCTACTTCATGTACGAATTCGACGAAGTGGCTTCATATGGGAAGGAGCGAACGAACGAACGAACGATACGGTGTGACGGCGACGGCGGCGTCTCTCGCTCTCTTTCTCCTTCTCTCTTGTACATACATGCATATCTGTGTTTGGCTCGCACAACAACTGCGCCGACTGCGCGACACCGTGGCGAAGATGAACTATATACAAACGAGCTGACTCCCGCGCACACGAACCCGAAAAGAGAACAGAATAATGAACGAATATTTATTTTCTCTTGCGCGAGCGCGTATCCTACCAATAATCCTCCATAGTTATTTGATAAAAAATGAAGAATACATCCACTAACTTTCACCCATCTCTCTGTTGCTGCAGAAATTACGGAAAGGGAATCCTTTATTGACTACGTTTGAATCTAACCATCCAGTCAGAGGTGGTGATCATCCAATAGAATGGAGCCTATCGTATTCTATCGAATCTACGAAACTCTTACCGTTGAGTGTACCTATACCTACCTACCTATAACATTACACGTAAAGGTATATGCATAGTGTACGGCAATTAAGTATACTCTTGCCGCACACAAGTCGAACCACGGCCGCTGCTTTGCTTTTGCCCACAAGTTTTATATACTTACACACTCATTCATGCGCATGGAAATTTACAAGCTCATCTTGTTCGAAAGAAATGCTTTTTGCCCGCTAAGCAAAGCGCCCGTATGCTCGTATTATAAAGCAAGAGTTTTATTCTCGAACTTTGCTGACATACCCTAAGCTGTGCACGCGATGACGAATCAACGTTAAAAGAGAGCTCGCGGTGGAGAGGGAGAGCCGAGCGCGTGTGATCTCTCTTTGGCCTTGTGGAGGGTACACCTCGTGCACCCCAACTAAGTATAAATATAAGACATTCGTATTCTCTCGAGCGAATCTTTCCTAAGTACCCACATACCTATACCTACTTACAATATTATCCCTCTGGTGCGAGAGATGGACGTCCAACGGACGTTAGATGGCGTCGGTCCACCCAGCGAGGCGGCTCGCGGTGATTTTTGCCTTCCACCTTTGTTTCTTCTTCTTTCTCTTATTTTTCCGAGTTCCTTCTCTTCATTCGATATGCCTTTATGTATATGCACTCGTCTTCACCCCTCACAGTCTCAACTTTGGCTCTTTTAGGGCTTGATAATATGCCGTAGCCGTAGGTACCTCGCGCACTTCGTGTTAACGTAATCACCTCAAGACGACACCACTTCCCACTTATCTACTTTTCACGTTTTTCTTCCTCGGCTTAGAGAGTAATTAGCGAGATACATATCATCGACAACACACGGCACACACATACTACACGGTATACATGCAGTCGGCGTCGGCGTTGGCGGCCGAATATCGGAATATATGTTCTTCCCCCCCCACCCCTCCTGATCTCTCTCTCTCGCGCAACACGCACACCCTTATGTTCTTACGAAGCGACGGAACGAACGCCGCTACTTGTGACACTGCTGCAGTACATATTGAATAATATACAATACACAGGCATCCCGTTATATACAATCTTTATATCCTTGCCTCCCTTATTTTTTCCCTTTTCCCCTTTTATTTTCGAACTCTCCCAAAGTTTTTTCTTTGAGACTGCTGTTAATGAGTTTCAGATTCCGTATTCCCTGAGTCGACGAATGGGACAAACGAGAACAAGTGGAACAGTAGTGTCATGGAAGCTGACGCATGCGCAGTGAATCAGCGCGGGTTATTTGACTATTTGTTTTGATTATTTCGAATGTTTCAACTCATCAACTTCTAGATTATTTTTATCACACGGTTTAATTTTAAAAGATTACAGTTGAAAACTTGTTTGCAATCGTTCAAGTATTATCTATAATTTATAAAATAGCAGGTGTTTTACCTTTAAAATATTCATGTATATCGATGATGCAAGTTGCAAATTGAAATAATTTGTAAAATTATTTATTTGGTTGTGTGTTTTGCTTCAGATAAATTCATTCAATGTGTACAAAAATACGGATAAATTTTAACGATAACAATTTTACAGCATGTATAAATAGTATTTACAATGTATCAATAAATAAACTTGTCGACTTAACTAGTATTTAAAGCTGTTACTACCGGGAAGCCGGCTGAGAATAAAAAAGGGCCATTGCTGGATCTTCGTTTTCACATGTGATCAACACGTCTCTAAATTTATCGAGTATCTGCAATAACTGGGAGCGCCGAATGTTTTCCAAGTACATTATCTCCTCCAAGTGATGTCCACCCTTGAAGTAGCCCATTCGACATAATCTCTCCAATAAAATTACATCATCAGATGGGTAATCGTCAGACTGGTACAAATACAATTCGTCTGTTTTGTCTAAATTTATGTCTTTTTCGGAATCAACAGAAGCCTTGGATGTTTCTGTAAAGCTCCAAGTACTGCTTTCCATTACTCCAACAGAACCGTTACTCGGTATGTCATTTGATGGACCGTTGCTAGCATCTTGATTGTTCTACAATCAAAGAAATACAAAAGTTTAAATGCGTTTGTTTTTATTACAAAAAATTTTTTAAAAATATGAATAAAAACCAAGGCACATACAACAGATGCGCGTCCGTGAACTGTTGGCATGTACTGAACATACGTATGTAATTGGAGCAGGAAATGATTCTTCAGAAGCCAAATTATAATCTTAACTAATTGTGATTGTTGCTGAGGCTGATTTAAGGGATTTAATTTTTGACTTATTGAAGTTGGTAAAGAAAATTCACTAATAACCTGAAAAAGAGTGTAAAATAAAATACTTATAATCAAGCATATTATTGAAACCCATACCTGCAATAAGCACATTCCTGGAAATTGTTCAGAAAATGCCTCTAACATGCGACTTGTTAATACTGCATCAGGAGAAACTACATAAACATTATTCTCACACAAAGGATAGATGATTGTAGCCTTGGCCCAGTAGACTAAATGGCCAGTTAATTGAAAAATTTGGGATAATGTCAAGTCAGAGTCGGCAGCTAAGGTTTGCAGGCTCTTTAATGGACTGTACATTTGTATAAGACGATATAGCGCAGGTGAATGATCTGTTGGTAACGATTCTAGCAGATCCATGGGCTCAGCTAAAAGTAGTAATCCATGATAAGGTCTCAGATTATCTAAGCACCTGTCAATGATTTCAGGATCCACTACAAAGCCTTCCTTGTGCGATTGATGTACTTTTTGTGGTAGACAAAAGCTCACTTGTATCCATTTGTCGATCATAATGTTAATTATGCCAGAGGTACTTAAACTGTTGAAGATTGATTTTAAATCCTTTGCAAGAAAGCTTTTCTGTAAAATTGTCTCATAAGTTGACTCATAACAGTCACTTTCTTCTTCAGACCTAAAATAAAAAAAATTTTGACTTGTATTGATAACAAGATGTGAAAAAACTCATAACAAATACCTAGCAGCAACTTCATCATGTGCAGAAACCATTATTTTAATTTCATCTGATAAATAACCACACCTTTTTTCTTCATGCCTCAGAGCAATTCCTAATCTACAAATGTAAAAAAGAACACTTGTATCTGCAATCTGTAACACAGTGGAGTACTAGTATCACGCACCTTTTGCTCAAATCATAATAGCATTTAACCACAGCGTGACTAGCTTGGGCTTGTAATGCAAATACAACATTAAAAAGCATCGAAGAATTAACTTCTTTCAAACCTCGAGATGGTAACAGAGTTGGGTGACCTACGAATCTTACTTCATTAACTTTTAATTCAAATTTTAACTCACACAACTCTGGTTTTACAGCAAAGAGCGTTGACAAAACATCATCTGGTAATCCAGTGAGATTCTCACTGAATTGATTTGGATATGCTATGGACTAGACAAAAAAAACGCATTGATGACACATTTAAATGATAAAACTAATTACAATAGGTGCTCGTGATCTAAGAAAAATGAAAAATCAACAAACCTGCAATGTATCCTCAGCAATAATCATGGAGTAAGGATTTTTTTTCTTCTGACACTGTCTGGCATCTCGCTGATGATTTGTAGCATAAGGATAACGAAAAAGAATACGATCGCCCTTGCTGTCGCTCTTTACAAGAATAACGCTCAAAGGATTGATTTCCATTATTGTTTTTGATTAACATTATATCCGTGAATTACGGAAAAAACAAGGGCCTTATTTATGGTTCGCCATACGGTTATCCGTTATATTGTTGATGCAAGTCCGGAGACAGCAAAATCAAAGAAGAATAATACGTTCCTACGTACTTTTCGTTGCTCTACACTTCTACGTACTTATATTATGTACTCACACTTTCAACGGGTTCATCGTTTAAATTGCAAAAAAATTATTTGTCACTGATTTAATAAGTAGTTGAGCGCCTTATTTATGTAAGATCACAAATCATATAAATGAAAATTAAATTCTTCAATCACTTGAGAACAAAAGAAACAGTTAGTGATTTCTTAATCAAATTTGGAATCAAGATGTATTCGTTTTATTTTATTTTTTTTTTTATTATTATTAATATAAAAAACGTGTTTTCCTGTGCAAAATAATTAGTATAGGTAGCACTCAGAGTATAAGTAAAATATTATTAAATAATTTATGTATAGAAATATTTTAGGAGAAAAAAACATACGCGTTTTTGATTATCATAGAGTGAACTTGTTTACTATACCGACATTCGGTGTGGTACTGCAAATGCCTGCAGTATCGGTTACGGAATCAGCGCCATCTATCGTGGCTTACTAAAAAGTTGAGCTTTAGAAATTCGCATCGCTAGGTGGCGTTAATTCGAAAAATCAAGTGCGATGCAGCGGGAAAAGCGCAAGTATCTGCGCGAGTTTAAAGGTGATTGACAGAATCGACAGAATTTTTTCTTTTTCGTAACTACAAACTCGCAAATAAAATGAGTTGTTAAATAACTGAGATAACTGTCGACAAATTTAATTACTAATGAACTTTAGTTAATAACTTGATCAATGTAATTTGTTATAAATTTTTTATGAGTTTAAATGGTCCTGGTCTTCAGCTTTGCTTCATCTTTTTTTCATTAATTTTATTTCATTTGATGCTAATGGAAAAACTCTAAGACATTCGTATGATTAAAATCGGAAAATAAACCATTGCGATGTATCCCTTATTTAAAACGTTAAAAATTCCCACGTAACAGTAATTTGTTTATTATTAGTTTTAAACGTTATTTTTTTCAAATGATTGAATCATCGCTTTATAATAAAGGGTAAATACTAAAACGAAACAGAAAATACACATTTTTCCGACTGCAATTTTTTTTTTTTTTTTTTTTCATAAGATTTCGGACAAAACAACCATTAATGCTGAAAATAAACTCCAAGATCTCATACAATGAAAACGAATTAAATTAATGAAATTTTTTTATTTTGGTCGGATGGATTGTTTCGAATAAGTCAAGTGATTGTTCTTCAACTGAACTGAAAAATTTCCCTATAGTGACTAACAATAATAATAATGGGTGCATCACAAACCGCGATTAACTAAGTAAATGGACCCTTTAATTGTTACTCCAGGGTCCTCATTGGTAACCAAACTGTTTATATCTGCAATTTGAATCTCTGGAGAGTGTTTTACATATTATGCATGTTTTGCATGGATATGCGCTGAAAATAATGTTAAATAAATTATTTTTTTCTCACAAAACTCACGTATAGACTCATAGCTAGACAATATTCATAGCTTATTTACTCATGGGCATAATTTAATTAAAATAAAAAACGTATACTTTAATCTTCTTTATCATTTGTGGAAAATAATTTTTACCCATTACTACTCGAAAATAGTACAAAAAAAAAATATATTTTTGAAAAAAGCGCAATTTTTGAGAGAATCAAAAAAACAATTTTATTAACAAAAATATTTCGGAAAAATTGTAACGCCCAATATTTGAGAAAAAAATACCCATCGAAATATTTGTTCGCATCATTGAGTAAGATTGAATTCGCGTGCAATGAAATCAGCGTTTCCACGTAATCTTTTGAACATAATATTATTGTCTCTTTTTTAAAATTATATACGGTCATAACAAACGACCCGCAAAAATCGGTAATTTGAAAAATTTCCACACCAAAGCGAATGGCCCCTGGCATTGTTATCAATTTTCGATCCTTGCAAAACGCTGCCCAAGAATATAAAAAAGTACACGCGTGTATTTAAGATGCACGGATGCATTATCTGTACGTGCATACCCACACATATGTGTATACGTGAGCTCGGGCTACCGTATTTCGCTCGATTTTAATGGCACCCCTTTTTTTTCGCCCCGATCGTGGTTTAGATTATTAGATTATCTCACATCCGGTCTCTCACAGTTCTGCCTTCTCCCCCCCCCCTCACCTTAGCGATCTCCGTACACACACACACACACACACATATATGTGTGTACTCTCCCGCGATCGAGCCGCGGGCTTTTCTCAAGAACGCGCATCTCTCTCTCTCGGTGCTTTGAACCTCCTATAGGTATTGTATGTGTACGTATACCTGTAGTATAAGTACGATCGGGCGAGCGAGCAAGAGAATTTCTTCTTTGCGAATGTCTCAAGGGTACACACGTGTAAGTATGGTATGGTACATGCATACATACCTATGTGAAACATAACGTTGTTGTTGTTGTATATATACATACATTTATACACACAACATACCAACAGTGTGCCATCACATATACAGGTGCATATATGTATATATACCCATGGAATATTGGTGCAGTGCGCGTCGTATATACTTACCCGGTACTTAATCAGAACCATCATCGCGATGAGCAAGCAGAGAGAGAGAGAGAGAGAGAGAGAGAAAGAGCTTTACAATAATCGATCGGATCGCTCGACGACTAATAATTATATATGCTGTGCGGTCGATGAATACTTACTTGCTGGATTACGTAATTGGCGATTCCTTTTTTCGAGGGAAAATATAACGCTTTTCGTTGCATCTCTCTTTTTCGCGTCTCGAGTGTGCGAACTGCGCGGAAAAATCGGCAACGATCGGCAGCTCGTTCGTCGCCGATAGCGTGTGCACGAGAGTTACGTTTCCTTCTTTTTTTTTTTTTTTTTTTTTTTTTTTTTTTTTTTTTTTTTTTTTTTNTATGAGCGTATGTACGTGTAAGCCACAGGTACACGTGTTGGCTGACCGTGTGTGCAACGGGAGTTTGGCGGAATGACGTTTTGAACTTTGCTCTGGAATTAGTTTTGGCCGATCGATCGTTCTTTCGGAGGGTAGGATGGGAGATGATTAAGAGGAAAGATTATTTATTTACTGCTTTTACTCTTTGGGAAAGTATCGCGGTAACATTTTACGTATAATTTATTGGTTTTTTTTTTTTTCCCGAAAAGAACAGACGTGAAAGGAATTATTCTTCGCGCGTTCAACTCGGCTCTTTTTGGGGGAAAAAAAAAAAAAAAAAAAAGAAAAAAAAAAAAGAAAGAAAAAAAATATCGCTTCGAAACTGTAGTCGTATCAAAAATTAAAATGCATGATAATTAACATACATTTAGTTCTACCCACCGATCCGTTCAACCCTCGACCCCCATCCACCTGCACGAAACGCGTACAATAAGTTACACACATATGTTCGTTAAAATCGTTGTCTTATTCGCAGGTATATGTATATATACATACATATGTTATACACACAGCAGCAGCGTATCATTAACGTGTAACCCTTTCCCCGTAAACGTCTTTCAAACTTCCAAGCTCGCGTTATCCAACATCTCATCTTTATTATTTATATTCTTGTGGCGCGCGAGAGAAAAGCTATATACCCACAAAAGTATTCCAAGCCCAAGATATCTGCCGAGAGGAACAAAAGAAGATACGACCGAGACAAAATTGAAGGAAAAAAAAAAAAAAAAAAAAAAAAAAAAAAACTT